CTGCCTGCTGTCTCAGGTTTCTGGCTCCAGCTTCTTTTGGTTGGATCCTGTCTTAATCCCCATCGGTTCCTGAGCTTCCCCTTTCGTTTCAGGCACCTGCTGCCTCTTAAAGGAAATTACCTGTTCCAATCCACGTGCACCTCTTCAGTAATCAGGGTTGGTATAGTTAAAAGTGAAAATGAATTTGTGCTCATCCTAGAAACATTTCACTTTATTGCAGAATAAATTTTTTTTGTTTTGCTCAGTTGGTATCTCTGGCTGGAATAAAATGGGTGACAGCTCAGGAATGACATTCACGAGGGGAACCCTGCATAGTGCCTACCTGTGCCATGTCTTATTCCACACATGTAACTAGTCCTTCATTTTCATCACCTTTAATTCACTGCAAGATTTAACAATAAAACAATATAGCTATTTTTCCCTGGTAGATTCCTGTTATATATCTTCCCCCTTTCCCATAGTTGTATATAAAACTGTACGCCATTGTGCACGTGCTGATTCTTCCAGACAGATGTACCATTTATGTACTATGAAAATGGGTACCTAACTGAACTCCTTCCTGGTACCCAGAGCAATCTTAATAAAAGTCAGGAGCTTTCTGTAACCTTTGCAATTATTGTTGAGACATGCTTAGAAAATCCCCACCTCTTGCAACAACCATTTCTGAAACTTCTTTAGACTTAACTTCTTTGGTGTCATTTCCCTTCAAACACACTTTGTAAAATCTGGAGTCCTCCAAGCATACCTCTTCTGCACAGTGGATCCCACTGGCATGACTCACCCCAAAACCAGCTCCATCTGTCTGCTCTAGGCTAGTGGTGTTTGCCCTTGAAGAAGAGAGCAGAAGTATCCTGCCAAGATTTTCATAAGGCATTTCCATTGGCATCTTCACCTTTACTTAGACCATGACCCAGAGATGCCCACGCTGCCAGAGAGGAGAGCTAGGTATTAGGAAAATTTCATCATTTATTTACCATCTAAACAAAAATGTTTTTGTAACCATAACAAGAAGGGAAGCCAAACCACTTGTCAAACAAACGTAATTCAATTGCATGTGTTAGAAATGTTTATATTTTGTTCCCCAAAGGTATAATCCATATTGCAGAGAGTATAGGAATGGCTATGTCTAGACTACAAGCCTCTTTCGAAAGAGGCTTTTTTGAAAGAATCATTTAAAAAAGCCTCTTTCAAAAGAAAGTGTCTAGACTACAAACAGATTTTTTGAAAAAGCAAGCCACTTTTTCAAAAGAGAGTCTAGACGC